AATGGGAAGTGTCACACTTTAATACATCACTGCAAATACGCGACTAATTTGAAATGTGTTGAATGTGATTCAAATTACTTGTTGATTAATAACAAGTGTCTTTCGAAAAATGTTGAGAACATTGATATCAGATGTAAAACATACAACCAATTTGGGTGTTATGAATGTGCGTCTTCATATTACTACAACTCGCAAACTTATACATGTGAAAATTGTGATGAAAAATGTCAAACATGTGTATCAAAATCGTCACAATGTTTGAGTTGTAATGCGTCGACTTTTCTGTATAATTCCTCCTGTCTGAGTATCGAGAATTTGTCGCACAATTGTGAACAGTTTGCACATTCAGGTGGATGTGTTAAATGCAAAGACGGGTATTACAGATATGGTCTCCAGTGTTTTTCATGTAATATAAAATGCTCGACATGTTTGAATGGAGTTAATTGTTTGTCGTGTAACTCGACCAATTACAAGACAATTAAAGGCGACTGTATTCCACAAGATTTGATATTAAATTGTGAAACGGAAGTGACACAAAATGGGTGTTCGCGCTGTCAAATAGGGTTTTATACAATCAATTCAAATGAGTGTGAAAAGTGTGATGATAATTGTTATTCATGTTCTTCCAAACACATTTGCACGTCATGTCTTTCTTCCCAAATTTTGAGTGCAAATAACAGTTGTGTTGGACTTTCTTCTATCTCCAAATGTCTTGAAATCGATGCCTCAAAATGTGTCCAGTGCACTTTCTGGCATTCGCCAAGTGTAAATGGCACATTCTGTGAAGTACATTCAGTGTGGTGGGTTATACTGATATTAGTTATTGTAATAGTTTACTTTATTATAACTATAGTATTTGTCTTCAGTATCACAACAAAGAAGATTATTGAAAAAATCAATATTAATGATATCGAATGTAATACTACAATCTTTTCTATGTCTAATTCTAACATTAAGTTTATACCCTTTCAACGTGGGATATGTGTGAGTTCCAAAGATATAGACTTCAACTCAGAACACCAAGAAATTGAAGTTAACGTTGAAACCAAAGAAGTCATTTGTGTCGGCAACATTTCAAATGAAACGATTAAGATCCAATTTAGTATGTCCTCTGAAATATCTAAATTTTCTATTCGTGTTGATCCCGAAGTGATTTGTCTCAAACCCAAATTTGCATGTGAATTTTCGATTTATATCAAACCTCTGTGCACGTGTGTCATTAAAAATAAAATTATGATCTTTTCTAAAGGCCTCAAGACGAACAAAGAAGTCTCCGGTGAATTAAATCTCCAAGGAGTGACTTCATTTTCAACTCGAATGGATTACGAAGAGTTAATAGAAGAAAAGAAACTTGGCGAAGGCTCTTTTGGTGTTGTTTTTAAAGGAAATTATAGAGGAAATTTGGTGGCAATTAAGAAAATGAAAAGCACTACACATAACGAGGAAGCTCTTGAGGATTTTGAGAAGGAAGTTTCTATGTTAGACAAATTTAGAAGTGAGTATATCGTCCACTTCTATGGCGCTGTATTTATACCAAACAAAATGTGTATAGTCACTGAATTGGCCGATTTTGGATCTTTGAATGACTTGATTCAACAAACACTTTCTAACAAGAAAGCACTTTTAAATGAAATGAACGAGTCGAATAATAAGAATAAAAATACTAAAAATAATAAAAAGAAGAACACAAAGACGTTGAATTATGAAATTTTTACACAAAAAGACTCACTTAAATTAAAAGTTAAATTCATGAAAGACGTTTCGAAAGGAATTTTGTATTTACACTCAAACGGCGTGTTACATCGAGACATTAAACCAGACAATATTCTGATTTTTTCACTTTATGCTGATGAAAGAATTAATGCGAAATTGACTGATTTTGGATCATCTAGAAATATCAATTTATTGATGACTAATATGACATTCACTAAAGGAGTGGGTACACCTGTATATATGGCTCCTGAGATATTAAATCAAAAGAAATATAAGAAACCAGAAGATATTTACTCGTTTGGAATGACTATGTTCGAATGCTTTAAATGGGGAGAGGCATACCCAGTCGAACAATTTGAATATCCATGGATCGTTGCTGATTTTGTTATTAGTGGGAAACGACTTGAAAAACCAGAAGAAATGGATGAAAGGTGCTTTGATATTATAAAAAGGTGCTGGTGCCAAGACCCGGCTCAAAGAATTAAAATCGAACAAGTTTGCGATGAGCTCGATATATTGTATAATTCATTTTAATATATTTAAGTTACTTTATTTAAATATAAATAATAAAGATTTTAAAGGTTTTTATTTAATAATAATAACCATGAAAATATTTTTCATTATTTTGATGGGACCTAAAGGGGTGGAAAAAAACCGCTTTTGATAATTTTTGGTGAATAATGGTAAATTGTTTTCTAAATGTTATTTGATTTTATTTTTTTATTTAAACAAAAAGAAAAAACATCATTTTCATTTTGCCTGAGCATTTTTTCGAAGTGTTTAAAAGAAGGCTGTTAAAGTCTATTTATATTACGTTGAAAAGCTGAATTATTACAGAATTTATTTGAAAGAAAACGGGAAACAGCTTACAATCGTAAGACATATAACCAAATATACATAAATTTTTAATTAAATTTTATTATAATATATTAGTGTAGTAAACGCAGTGTTTATTAGTCTTATATCGTTTGAATTAACAAACCAAATTATCATCTTTGCAGTCATCATCATCATCTTCCTTATCTTCAGAGTAATTTATATCAAGTCTTTTTGTCATTGTTGTTTTTGTGCTTTATTTTGTCTTCATAAACACATGAGTTCAAGTCTAAGTTGTCACTGTCGTGGTTTTGATGTTGTTAAACATAATAAACAAACTGTTTGACCTTGCAATGAACGAGATAATTTGATATCGTCGCTTTTGGAGATCTCCTTATAAACCCTTATAATTGGTAAAAAAAGAACTTACATTTTTTTTCTAGATCATGTTTGCGATAAAACAATACCAACTATGTAAATTTTGATTATTAGTAAAGTTAGAGCATTATGTAATTATTTTGCTTGGATATTGTCAAATGAAAAATAATTTTGTTTTTAAATGTTTAATATGTTGTCAATCTATGATTTATATTATAATTAATGACATTGCGAAAGATTAAAATGGAATTGTATTAAATAATAAATTAACTATTTATTATTATAATTTAACCATATCTGCACCTAAAATTTACTAATAAAATTAATAAATTTACTATTAAATAATAATAAAAACCATAATTATCATTTTACTTATGCTCAAATCCGAACAGACAGAACATGAATTGATTCATTTGACACAACGTATCGAAGCCGTGGTTGTCGTTGTGTGTCTCTTTTGAACTATACAAGTGTTAAGTGATTTTCATTATTTTTCAGACCACCATTTGATTAATTTTTAAAACAAATTATTGTATAAATTATAATAAATTTATTAATGATTTTAGTTATTTTGTTCTTCTTTATAAAAGTATGTGCGAAAATCCCAAAATGTTACATATATTTACTGTAATAAAATGAACAATATACAAGGAGGATAAAAAACCGCTTCCGTCTTTTTAACCGCTTCCTATCGATTTAATAATTATAACTAATAACATTATAATAAAAAGTATGATACAAATTACCACCTCGGACAGAAAAAGTCTCCACGAGGCATATTCAGCCTTCATGGTAAACAGTACTATACATTTTATTATATTAATAAACTGTATGCCAAAAGTCGGTACTTTACCAATTATTAGTGGAAACCCTTTTATAATAAATTCCCGTTTTTTAAAGTTTTTTTGTTGTTTTCATTTATAATTTCCATTTGAAAAAAAGAAAAAACAGTACCGACTTTTTAACCCTCAAAACCAATACAGTTATAAATTTCAATTAAAATTTCGGGATTTTAACAAAAAATTAGAACAAACTTGTCCGATTTTCTGAGACTGTTATTCAGTCTTTTTCACTGTTGAGATTCTCAAAAAATCGGCATTTTTGCCTTTTGGTAATGGACGAGTAGTTTGAATGGGTGAGATAACCGTATTTTACCTCTCACATTACGACTCTCCCCCACTTCAAAATACACAATAAATCGTTCTAACTTGTTGTTATTTTATGGTTGTCTCTTTAAAAAAAACAAACTTTGAAACACTACACATATTAAATGGTTATTTTTATTTTCAATAATCTTTTCTTTGTGTTGTAAGTGTTAATGAAATTGAAAGATTTTTATTATTTGTTGGATCATTAACATTTTCTTTTGAAAAGAGAAAAAGTCGGTTTTACTCACGGCAAAAACAACCATATGGTCAAGCAAAATTTTTGAAGAAGTAAGTTATTTGATATTTTCCTTGTTATTTTTTATTTAATTTTTTAGCTTGGTCTAAATTCAAGGTTCAGTCAAGTTTGTTTTTTAAAAAATAAGAGGGAAAAAAATAAGCAAAAAACGATGTCAAACAAAATGAAAAATATTTGGAATCATTTACTTCAAAAAGTCGGGTCCTTTCGGTACCGACTTTTGAAAAACAGTTTATTATTTAAATTTATAAAATCAAGTGGAAGCGGTTAAAAAGACGGAAGCGGTTTTTAGCCCCCTTGTAGTCCATCAAATAGTAAGAAAGTTGTTGATAATCATTTCTTTATAATTAGTGAATAAAGGTATAAAAACACATTTAAGATAAACAACACATCAACTTTCACTTTGGCACCAGGTCTTCTTAATAAAGTATTGGGCTGATAACAGTCATTGTCTCCATGATATTTTCAACAATTTTTATTGAAATGCACTTTTGGGCAAGCATTTTGCTGGCGGGAAAAACCGCTTCACTACCATTTACTTGTTTTATTGTATAGAAAAATAACGTTTTTTGGCATTTTGCCGAGTTTTAAAATAAAAAATAATAAGGTGGCGAAAACCCGCTTTAGATCTTTTTTTGTCTTTTCTAAACCAAATTCTTATTGTTTTATGATGAAAACTTATCCAATAACCAAATATTGCCCTTTTAAAATTGTGAAAAAATAGTTTGTTTTTTCTCGGCATACAAATATTTTTTAACCAAATGTATTGAATAACATAAGAGAACACACAATAAACTTGAATTATTCACCATACAGAAATTATTGCCGCACTTTCGGATCGTCCACAGTATCCTCCCAGTCTTTTTTAACATTTCTATGCACGGCGGGAAAACCGCTTTACTACCATTTAGTGATAAAATTACACACAATTATAACCAAAGTTTCAATTTACCTCAAATAATTGAGGTTTTGGTGGAAAAAAGCAAAAAAACACGAGAAATTATAACGGACATGTGCAGCGCCCTTTTACCGCTTCTAATAATTTACACAAAATTATCCGTATTACATTGTTTTTATTGACCAATATTAATAAATTGCTTCGTTTATTTAATAAAAAGTTTCAAAAAAGCAAGTACAACGAAATAACGAGTCATTTATCGCTTGCTTGACAGGCACTTGAAAAACCGCTGGTAATGGATGCACTCACGTTCAGTTGGTGAGTAAGTCCAAAGTGCGTTTTTCCAGTTTGGCTTTGAAATGCATTTCTGAGCGAATGAGGAATCCAACAAGAGGGGGTGTGAAATAAAGGTGCAGTCGGTCTTTGCTGAGAGACATTGAAAAGTGGTGTATTAAAAACACGTGCTGGCTTATATATTTATAATGTTGTTCGAGAGGTAATTGATTTGACTGTTGAGTATTTGTTTAATGGATGATTAAAAAATTGAAAAAAATTATAAAGGAGTGAAAGGGGGTGTGAAAAAAGTACACTCGCGGGTTAGTGTTTTTGAGTTTTTTATTTCTGCAAAAAATGAAAAAATATTTAATAAAAAGTTCATTTTATTTGATAAATTCTGAGTTGTTTTTTGGTTATTTTGACCTCAAAGAACAGTTTCGAAGTCAATCTTACTTGCTCCTCCTTTTATCGTTCGGCAAATCCAGCCTTTACTTTACATAAAAAATAATTCACAAATTTCAATAACAAACATCGGCATCTTAAAAAAGTCAGAGAGACTCTTGTAAACCTTGTTTTGAATCAAATCGAGGAAAAGGAAAAAATTAAACTATACAAAAAACTATAATCATATTATCATTTTACTATTAAATTATCAAAAGCTGTTTTTTTCCTGAAGCGGGTTTTTTTTTACCCCTTTATATAATTTGTTATATTATAATCATATAAATATAAATTATAAAATGATTTGAGAAGATATAATTGGGACTGTATTGTTTTATTTTATTTTTTAATAATAATTATATTAGATTTATATGGTTTATTTTTTTAACATCTTTTACATGATAAATGGTATTTTTAATAGTTATTTAACTAAATATTTAGGTCAGCGACTTTTAAGACCACTAAAAAGTCAGTGATTTTCAAATACAGTCAAAGGTGTCTATTTGTCGTAAATAAGTGAATTTTGTAGAAAATTCTATTTCATATTGAAATTTGTTTTTTATAAAAAATTTAGTTTTTAATTCAACAAAAGTTACAGATTCGAGAACAAAATATTTAATTGTCGTACACCAAAATGATTGGCCAGTTGTGCGACAATTAAGCAACTTCGACAATTATAATTACGACAAATAGACACCTTTGACTGTAGACTTTAAAGAAGGGATGAAGTAAAATGGTGATATAATTTTACTGAAAATTTATGTTTTAGTAAATTATTTGGTGAAATCATTTCACCAAATAGAACTATTTAAGTTCTTGAATTTTGGTTTTGTTTTCAAAGAATAATTTGATAAATACCATTTTAATGTTTTTAGTTAAAACAATTTCAGCCTTTTAAAAAAAATGAAAAATTCAATAATGATTTTTTTACAATCATTACAATGAGCGGCAATATTCATCTTATTGTAAATATTTTTTTTTACTTATCATAAATAAAAAACAATTTGCACAAAACATGTTTTAATAAATACTTAAACAATAACAACACTATATTTAATAAAAAAGGTACAAATCAAAAACATATTATTTGAAAATCTAGAATATATATTAAAAAATATAATAAAATACATTGAGAAATGCTCATAATTAATTTAATTTATTTTTATAGGCAACAAATATCGAAATATGATTTGTACAACATCTGAAAGTGTTTTGGATTAATTAACTCTAACAATAATTTGTAACCATCTGTTTATTTTGTTTTGAAAAATGCTCTTTAAAAAACTTATTATAATTTGAGACATTATATTTCAAAACAAAA